ATGAGAACAGCTGCAGCATCTTGCTGTTGTTGTTGTTGTTGTTGTTGTTGTTGTTGTTGTTGTTGTTTACTGCTATCTATCACCTACCAGCATCATGGATGAGAACAGCTGCAGCACCTTGCTGTTGTTGTTGTTGTTGTTGTTGTTGTTGTTGTTTACTGCTATCTATCACCTACCAGCATCATGGATGAGAACAGCTGCAGCACCTTGCTGTTGTTGTTGTTGTTGTTGTTGTTGTTTACTGCTATCTATCACCTACCAGCATCATGGATGAGAACAGCTGCAGCACCTTGCCGGGAAACTCCGGTGCGAACAGATCTCTCGCCATCTTCACGTACGTCTGGTCCGCGGCACTGATCGACCTCACCACGCTGACGAACCTACAGGTGGCGCCACGATAGCAACACTCACGTTAGGTGAAGTCTCCGCCGAATATATCATTCATTAATATTAAATACTGTTAATTATTACACACGGTTAATATAGTACGTAAATAACCGTAATTCATTAATATTAAAGTGATTACGTCACCGTAAATAGTAAAAAATAAAAAATATATTTCCACTTTTTCACAAAATATAAGTAATTCTGTTTACTTTTAATGGTTAAATTGCTGCATTATACTTCTTATTTTACTATATTGTTCGATGTAAACATACACTCGTGACTCCTACATAGCCTATAGCAAGCAATTAATGTCAAGAACACTAATATCAAATCGTCAAGGTTTTTTTAGATTTTTAACGAGTTGAAAAACAATCTTATCAGGTAAGAATTTGACGATACGTTTAGTCGCGTTAGTTCTTACTTTTAATGTAAAAAAATGGCAACAAACATTTTACAAATTTTACCATAGAAAATTCGTGACGTAGTCAATTTAAATACTGTTAATTATTACACTCGTAATATAGTACGTAAATAACCGTTAACGACTCGAATCTCTCCGCCATAAATAGTAAGAACCAGTAAGGGTTTGTGTTGTCATCAATATGTTATTATTATATTATTAAATTATATTAATTACTGTTCATGACTGACCGTCTATTGGTCTCACCTCTCCGCAGTTGACAGGTAGCTGGGGTTGTTAATTAATATATCGTCAATTAATATATTATTAATTAAAATTAATTATTCAATTATTTAATATTAACTACTGTTAATTATCACATCTCTCACCTCTCGGCCGTGGACAGGTAGCTGGGGTTGTCGAGGAACAGCGGCGTGACGACCCGCAGCGCGTGCACGGCGCTAACGTGCTGCTGGCACGCCGCCAACCGCGCGAGCATCCCCAGCCCGTCGCTCAGGAAGTCGGCCATGTTGTGTCCGTGCGCGGTCGCCGCGAGCGCGACGTACGCCGCCATCGCGCCGCCGTCCCGCGCCGACGCCGCCACCGCCCGCAGCCGCGGCGTCTTGTGAAGGTCCGGGACCTCGGCGAGGAAGGCGGCGTCGCCGAGCCTCGTGGCGGCGCCCCCTGGCGGCGGGGGTTGCGCGGCGGCGTGCAGGCGCAGGCGGTGCACGAGGTCGGTCGCCCACGAGTAGAACTGCTGCTCCTGCGGCGGCGTCTGTCGCACGAGTGCTGACACGTTGTAGAGCTGTGCGGAGAGAGGAGGGGGGAGGGGGAGGTGACGGTCACACACCTGTATAGAACAGCCATTCTGGGGGTGTGACCACTGTGCGCAGGTGGCCGTTCCATAGAGTTAGTTTTACTGTAGAACAGACACTGTGAGGGGGGAGGGGGTTAAGTGGCCTCTAAGTACAGGTGGCCGTTCTATAGAAAGGTGGAGTTCACAGTATTAACAAGTATATATTGAATGGCATGTGTGCGTGTGTGTGTGCGTGCATGCGTGCGTGCGTGCGTGCGTGCGTGCGCGACTGCGCATGTAGAAGGGCGGAGCAGCCCTCCCCCTTCCCTGGCTGGGACATGGGGGGAGGTGAGTGACAGGGGCGAGGGAGGGGAGATATGAGAGGAAGCCTACCTGCTGGATGCTGTAGTAGAGAAGACCACCCTTGCTCTCCGGTATCACCTTGATGTACGCCTCCGTTACCATGACGGCGACCTCTCTGTGAAGGTCGAGCGGCAAGAACAGCTCCTCTCCCTGAAACCAAGCTCTCAAGGTCATGCGTGAAGGACATAGTATACATCTATATCAAGAGCTAATAATACCTTATTATACCTTAATAGACCTTATTACCTTATACCTTATTACCTTATACCTTATTATACCTTATAATACCTAATAAGGTATTATTAGCTCTTGATCTATATGGTTACGTCGATCTGTTACTCTTGACAATTGCTCAACATATGTAGCATAATATATGGTTATGTATCGCAGTGTACTAGTGCATACTAGTATAGATTAGTAGTATAGAGTTAGTGCACGGCAGGTAGGAGGAGAACGAGGATGAGAAGGAAGAGGAGGAAGAGGAGGAGGACGAGGATGAGCAGGAGAAGGAGGAGGAAGAGGAGAAGGAAGAATGGGGGGATAAGGATGAGGACGCAGAGGAGAAATAGGAGAAAAGGGAGGAGGAGCTTGAAGAGAAATAGGAGGAGAAGAACGAGCAGGAGAAGAAAGTGAAGAAAGATAAAATAGGAGGACGAGGACGAGGAAGAGGAGGAGCAACAGGAAGAGGAGAAGAAGAAAGATTAGGAGAACGAGGAATAGGAGGAGCAGAATAAGGAGGAGGGGAGTCAGAAGAGGAGAAATAGGACAACGAGAAGAAGGAGCAGGAGGATAAGGAAGTGGAGAAAGAATATGAGAACGTGGAGAAAGAGGACGAGGAACAGGTGAAGTAGAAGAAGGAGGAGGAGGAAGAAGAAGAGGAGAAATAGGACAACGAGAAGAAGGAGCAGGAGGATACGGAAGTGGAGAAAGAATATGAGAACGTGGAGAAAGAGGAAGAGGAACAGGTGAAGTAGAAGGGGGAGGAGGAAGAAGAAGAGGAGGTGAAGGGGAGGAAGAGGAGCAAGAGGATAGGTAGAAGGAGAAGAAGACATAATAGTCTATTTTAGAGGATGTGAAAGTAGAAGATGTGAAGACGAAAACGCTCTTGGATCACATGCATCACGTTGTTGTATGAAATAGTAACCCAAATTACGTCTGTCAGTCAATTTTCAAGTCTGTACGAAGATTATTAACCGAGATATAGCTATTTTTTTAAATGACGGCGGCCATATTTGAATTCAAGATGGCGGCCGAAGTTGTAGTTGGATCGCGTGTGTCCTGTCTTTAAATGAAAGAGCATACAAAATACTTTTTTCACAATTTGAACGATTTTTTTCTAATCTACTGTACTAAAGAAGAAATGATTGGGCTGATGCAAAAAAGGGAGCGAGAGAGGGTAAGAGTAAGAAAGAAATGAAGAAGACATAGGCGAGTACACTCACCGTGTAAAAAAAAAAGAAAAAAAAGAAAGAAAAAAAAGTACACTCACGGTGTCCGTCACGCCCCAGTTCATGCCCGTGAGTAGCAGACGCGCCAGCTGGCTCTCCGCAGACGCCAGCTCCCCCTTCAGCAGCCAATCACGTACCAGCTGCACGTCGTCGACCGTCGGTTGCCATAGCGACAGCGGTATCTCGTGGAACAGGTAGAGGGACATCTGAAAAGGAGGAGAGTGATTTTGATGACGGTCGAAATTTAAACCTAGAGAAAAATAGTGACGATAACGGTGCATTGGATGTCCACCATGACGGTGATGATGATGATGGTGATGATGATGAAGATGATGATGATGATGATGAATATGGTGGTGATGATGAAGATGATGATGATGGTGGTGATGATGATGAATATGGTGGTGATGAAGATGGTGATGATGGTGGTGATGATGATGAATATGGTGGTGATGAAGATGATGATGATGGTGGTGATGATGATGAAGATGATGATGATGATGGTGGTGATGATGATGAAGATGACGACGATGAAGATTACGAAAATGATCACAATAACGATGGCAGTGAGGACGATGATGACGACGATAATGACGATGATGAAGAAGATGGCGACAACAACAACAATGATGATGATGATGATGGCGATAATGATGCTGACGACGAAGATGATGACGATGAAGATTACGAAAATGATTACGATAACGATGGCAAACATGACCGCACCGATGACGAAAACTACGATGATGAAAACGACGACAACAAACAACACCAACGATGACACAGCACGAGCGTCAACCCACCATTCCGACGCGGAGCATCGAGGTGTTGACTCTCCCCAGCAGGAAGCTGATCGTGAACGGATGCCTCTCCGCTATGCTAGAGAGAAGGTCGCGGCCGGACTTGGAGCAGAAATCGCGCGTCACCTGGTCGATGAAGGAAGCCTGCAGGAGGGACAAGGAATGTTATAGTGGGGCAGATAACAATTGCAGATGCAAATATTAGGAGAATCATTATTAGCTATGGTGAGGGCACAAACACATATTTCTACTCGTATATATATAGTATAAGCTACATAGGTATATTATATATATATATATGTATATATAGGTATATATATATAATTATATAGGTATATATATATATATATATATAATTATATACATATGTATAACATATGTATATATATATGTATATATATATATACATATATAGTATATAGGACGGTAGATACGTGAGAGGTAAGGCCACAGGTTGTGCCGTATGCAGTACAACCTGCCGTGACCCCCTGTGTGTGTGAGCGGCAGCGGCAATGGCAGCCATGTCGGCGGTATCTCGTATATGAGCGCGACGATGAACTCTATGAGCTGTCTATAGTATAAGCTATATCATGTATGTAGTATCTATGAGCTGTCTATAGTATAAGCTATATCATGTATGTAGTATCTATGATGGCGGCGGCCATGTTGGCGGTACCTCGTATATGAGCGCGACGATGACCTCTATGAGTTGTCGCTCGCCGTCGTCACGCGAGGCGGCCATGTTGGAGAGCGCCGTCAGCAGAAAGATGGCCTCCTGCTGCGGCATCGCCTGCAGATTGTCTATC